ACCATTTTTCTGGTAAAATTAAAGTAACAAAGTTATAGCCCTTTGGAAGTTTGAGTACCGCCCTGTCTCAATAATATCATGTGTTCGTGTTTGGCAACAACGGTTCATCGCATCGGAAACAAAAAAGCGAAAGAATTTGGAACGATGTTTTTACGATTACAATTCAGTTCAGTTATACATACAGTCAGTTTCAGTCGTGTGTGAATAGTGTCTGTTGCGTGGCTCAAACGAAATAAAAAATGGCACATGTTTATGCGGATCGGTTTCCCAATCGAGTGCAAACAACCCCTCGTGCCTTTGTTAATGTAGTACAACGGGCTCGTGAATCAGGTGACTTAAGACCTCACAGGGGACCTCACGATCAAATACAGGTCCGCACTGAAATACTTGTCGGGAGGATACTTTATAAAACAAGGTAAAATTTTTTTTTAATTTTTTTTTTATTTTTACACACATATTTTGGTTTATCTTCCTTCTACAACCATTATCTGAAAATTAATGACTCAACTTCAAAGTCACCCTGTATAGCTGATCAATAACGAGATATAATTCCACAAAATTGCTCGTAATACCTATTATTTCCTCATAACTCCTTTCGTCTAAGAAAATTCTCTCATAATTCCATCTAATCGACCAATTCCTCAATAATTCCTCGTTATTCACCATACTTCTTGTCAACGCCTCGTGGTGCATGAAGGTTCCCGCGTACAATCAATTTTCTTAGCGAATAACCCCTCGGAGAAACAAAATCGGAATGCACAACTGCCAGGTAGACGCTTCAACCACCGAGCGACGGTAGCCCGTGGCAGTATATTAAAAACCACTTTTGACTGAAATATCTGCCGTACGCATTATACGATCACATTTTGTAGGTTATTTTCAATTTCTCGGACAAGTTTATTACGGAGTGATCATATATCATGTGACCTAATGCTTTCCAGAGACAGGAGTCGCGAGAAATCGGAAAAAAACGCCAAAGACGCTAAAATTAATATTCTTTTCGTAGCCTCAAACTTTGAACGTGTCTACAGACCCAACCGTTTCACCCAGGAATTGCCCACTGTTGATCCAAAATATAGAAAATCGGATTCCAAGGCCTATTCAACCAATTTAGAGGCCAAGTACAAAATTCAATTTATATCAAGTGTTTCAAATTCGACACTCACCATTGTTATCTCGGAAACTGTAAGAGATACGAAGTTGCTTAAATGGGATCAAAGTTGCATACTTAGGTAACTAACAAATGTGCCGCTTTTATATCCAAAAATGTATAATACGTCACACAGAAAAGCAAAGTTTCCTAGGCAGGCCATGAACTAATCAGATACTTATTTGTTTCGTATACCGCATTTATTCCAAAACCATTTCCATTTTTTCCTATGTTTACTTGAGATAAGGTTTCAAAATAAATTGCATGTTGTCATTGCTACCTGTTCTGCACTACAAGATGTTTTTGTTGTTGCTTGAAAATTATGAGGAAGTAAATAATATGGTGAAACCTGAACACACAATGAAAATTTTATGATGGTGATAATAATAACGAATCAGAAAAAAGTATAAGTAAACCACAGTTGTTATTTTGTAGGCAAAGTCTGACTCGTCTCTATATATTGTTCACAGCTCGATTTACTTCCCTTCTTCTCAGTCTTCTAAATTCTGTTACAATGTTCAATTTAAAGTCTGGTCTGGTATATGAAACAAATGACTAAATGGCAATTGCAAGGCCTACCTAGGAACATCTGCTTTTTCTGGAATAACTAAGGTTTGGCAAGTTTTGGAATCAAAACTAAAAACTCTATTCATCTGCGTAAAAGTCCAATATGGCGTCCTTAAGAAAACGCAAAGTTAATGCTGGAGGACAAGAGACGAAATGTCATATTTAAATTATAATCAGTCATCTTTTAGAAGAAAAAGAGTGACAATGTTAATGTGCAATTTATTTTAAAATCCCGACACAAATAAGTCCAGGAAAAAATTATTTTGGAAAAATTCGTTTCTTTCTGTCTCTCCGGAAGTACTTTGAATTTCTAAACTTTCTAAGCGGCATTTTGTTAATTACCTAAATACGTAACTTTTGTCTCCATTAGTCAGGGTAGAATTTGAAACACCTGGTATAGGGATATGTTGGTTTTTGTCCTTAATGGAAAAATTATGTTAATTGTGTTCCTTGTGGCATCCGAATTGTTCAATAAAATAGTGAAAATTACTACTTTTGACTAAAATATCTCCGAACGAATTATGAAGTCGCATTTTAGAAACCATTCTGAAGTTCCTTGGACAATCCGAGTTGGTCATATGCTATGCTTCTTTCAAAGGTCAGGAGTAGCGGGAATATAGGAAAGTTGTCAAAACGCTAAGATTTACACCTTTTCGGATCCTACAAACTTTGAACGCGTCTCCAGACTGAACCGTTCGACCTACGATTCTGGAATTCTACAAAGCTTCGAATTTCCATAGGTACCCTCTACAAAAGAAATGAGCTCAATCTAAAATATAATCTGGCAAGCTGGGTTAGTGAAAAAGGAGCTAATCTATTCTACATTCAACCTGGACCAGCGTGCGGCATGCCGTATAGCTTTGCGCGAACCACGTTCTCCCGGTGTAGGTCAAATGAGCTCCAAATGTGTTGGGATGATCGAAAGACATGCTGAGAGGATCTTCGGAGCAGCAGAGGTACTTAGATTAGGTAGCAAAGAGCTACGCGACCGGCCACTGGTTGTTCAGAGCGTACCTACAGGAAATAGAGGTGAATGTATGAAGGTCACTGTGGGGTTGCTAGATTTATCATGCACTTAGACTGGGACCAATATCTGAGACTGGAGGTACGCAATAAGTTTTATGGCTGAGCTGCAATTATTAGACCACTGAACAAATCCAGATCGAGTAACCTTTAGTCTTCACCCACGTACTTCCCTGGCTTAGGTGTGGGAAGTAGAATGAGTTATCTTCACATAATCTACTCTAGCCATGTGGAACCATAGAGAATGCAGCTTTTCATCCTGGTTTTTTCGGTGTCTCTGTGAACGAGCACATAGTGGCATCTGATACCGTTGGCGTCGGCTGCGCTACGAAAAAGATCCGGCGGACGGAATTAAGGAATTTGTTAGATCCCTTTATCTGAGAGTGGAGGTGTAATTCGGCCGTATTACATCGTTTAGTTCTTTCTTTTGGATTCCTAGGGAGTTTATCAAGTGAGAAATAGCAGCTTGTAGATGGCGTACTAGATGAAGTTAGTTATAGAGATATTGGAGTCATTGTCCGATCGTTCTTTTTTCCTATCCGTACAAAGGGCAAGATAAATGTTAAGAGGGCAAGGCTTTTCTCAGTTGTATGAATTTGGGTTTTTACTTTTCACGATGTGTAAATATCGAAAGCAAAGTTAGGTGTAGTATTTCTGTTGTCACAACGCTTCAGTATAGGATCTCAAAGACTAACTAACAAGCTAAATTCGTCGATAAAGTATTTTCGCAACCGCTCGGAAAAATCTTCTGATTCAATTTTTTGCATAACCTTATTCAAAAGGAAAATTAAAAAAACAGAAATGGCTATGCTTTCTAAATAAACGTACAGAGAAAAGTTATAACGAATACAAGAAACAAAGAGAATAAGAAAAACTATGGTGAGAGACAGTAAAAAGAAAGTATGCAGTGATTTTGGATATAAACTTGAGAATGACCGCAAAGGTAACCAAAAAGTGGAAAGAGACTTCGAAATAGACAAAACGCAACAACTGAGACAAAGGAGATAATGGATCAAGATGGAGTTTTGATTATGGAGGACCAAAAAATACTGGCTAGATGGAAAGAGTATTTAATGATCTACCGAAGATACAGAAGATGAGGAGATAACAATAGACGAGGTAACAGAAGCATTGAAGAAACTTAAAAATGGAAAGGCACCTGGACTAGATAAAATAACAGGGGAAATGTTGAAAAATATAGATGAAACTGAAATTAGAAAACTACATTATCTCTTCACTAAAACGTATAGACAGATAATACCCAAGCAGTCGACAACAGGGCTGATTTTACCGATTTTCAAGAAAGGAGAAAAGAGAGACTGTAATAATTACAGAGGAATAACACTGCTGTCTACAGTACTCAAGATCTATGAAAACATACTAGAAAAAAAACTAAGAAAGTTAATAGAGCTGTCATTTTCTGAAACACAAAGTGGCTTCAGAGAGGGAAGAAGCATTCAGGACCACATATTTACCATTAAAAACTGGATAAGTAAATTTTTACCAAAAAGACAACCAATGTACCTTGCCTTTATGGATATGGAGAAAGCTTTTGATAGAGTTCCATGAAAAAAGAGAAATACCACAAGACTAACAACCGAGTAATATCCAGAAATATGATGTCCGAAGAATTTGCTACTATAGAGGGGGTACGTCAAGGTGGAGGGCTTAGTCCCCTATCGCTTAGAGTATTTATGGATGATCTGATAAAACAATGCAGGCAAAGAACAAAACTAATTTTTGTTAGATGTAGGAAGTTACAAAAAGTAGAACTAGCAGAGTGCGCATTTGCAGATGATTCGGTGTTGGCAACTGGTAGCGTTGGGAGTCTACAGGAAAATTTAAACATTTGGAATAAAGTACTTGAAGATAATGGAATGAAACTAAATAAACTTAAAACTAAAGTTATAGCTGTGTCAAATGAAAAACTAAATATGGACGTAAGAATAGATAATGTAAAATTACAACAGGTGCCCTCATTTAAATATCTGGGAGCTATGTTGGAACCTAACGGCAGAAATGAAATAGAAATTTCTGAAAGGATAGGAAAGGCAAACAACTTGTACTATGCGATGAGTAAAGGTTTTATCAAAAATAAAGGGGTGTCCCAGAAAACAAAAATGATGGTGTATAATACAATATATAGACCTTATATTGACATATGGATGCGAATCCTGGGTCCTATCGCAACAACAAAAAAGTAAACTTCAAGCAGTTGAAATGAGATACTTGAGACGAACTAAAGGGGCAAGTAACCAAAATGGACAAAATAAGAAACGAGACTATGAGAACGGAGTTAGAGACAGAATACATACTAGAACACATAGAAATGAAGCAGCTGAGATGGTGGGGACATTTGCAAAGAATGGGTGACAACATACCGGTTAAACAAGTTTGGGAGAGTAAGGTGCTAGGAAAAAATAACATGGAAAAATACTCGCACCATAGAACAGATATTGATGAAAAGAGGAATGGACTGGAGACAAGCTAAGAAACGCTTAAAAAAAGAATGGACTAAATTCATGTACAAATAATAGTAGGTTTTGCAATGCTTTGTTTAACCCTACACCCTTTAGGGTAAATGGGATCTTGAATATATATAATTAGAAAATAGTGGTCCAAATTCGCAAAAAGAAGGAAAGTGGATTCGAGCTGAAAATACGATAGGTAACCCGAGCGATACGTATTTCTGCTGGCTGACTACATCAGGCCCGAAATGAATGCACGTATGCAACTACACAAGCAGACACACATGTCCATACATCCCGAAACGGGTGTAACTTGAGCAAACGGAAAAGGAGAGCGAAAAAAATCACACACAAAGTCCACAACAAGAGCCAACCTACACATTGTAGTATAAAATGGCTAGAAAACCTTGCATTTTCAGGGCGATATATAACCACAACCATGCGGCCAGTTATAGCCACTTGCTGTGGTACTTCAAGCTCAAAGGATCTACAAAGAGAAAATGATCATGCGGAGAAAGGTATATAATAAAAATTAGGAAAATAATGGGCAAATTCTGCACAAAGAACGTTTAGTGTTCAGGCCGTACTCAGAGAGGATAAAGATACGAATATCTTAGTCTCATCCTTCTAGGAAAACTACAGGCAGAAGGTCTGTAGATAGATGGTAGAATTCTTGGCTGAAGTACCTTCATCGTTGGTACAGGTGCACACTTCAGGACATATTCCGTACAAGGGTTTCCAAGACACAGTCATCCAGATTTTCAACCTTTATTAAGAGAAGGTGAACTAATAAAAAGGCACTGCGAAGTTGCAAGATTTGTAGGAACCATCGACTTAACCTACTTGATATGACTTTTTATCCCTCTCATATTGTATGACCGAGCACGACTCCACATATCAGAGCTCCATATACACATGGACGTATCTCACTCCAAACTATCTGAGTACAGAAACGGAGAACAGCAGCCAAACTAAAATATGTTCGTTATTAAATCGTAGTTTATGTGAACCGCAAGCCCGGGTTGCAGCCGACGCTACATTAGAAAACCGCACGATGTTTACGACCATCGCACGTTTTGCCCTTTCGAAGCACCAACGATTTGCACAACTTCTGGAGTACAGGATGAAGGTCCAGAAAGCAACAGAACCTTACTTACCAGGTTTGTTTTCGATTTCGTGTGGCGTTCCATACAAGATCGACACAGCATCAAAACTCGATTGATCAAACAACGACGTCATTGTTTCTTGTTCATCATGAATGAATGTGAAGAAGCATAAAAAGGTGGACAATTTCGATAACCTAGTACACCCTCCTGGTGGTTGAGTTTCTAAAAATGCCGAAGCTCACTGGTTATGTTGCTGAGTGTTTGTACAAACTTATAGTATTTAAGATATGGTAGGAAAGCGGGTAAAAATGCGTGAGACTGAAATATGAACATAACCATGCTCATTATAACACGGCAGGACTTTTAGTCGGGTTTTATTGATGCAATTTGTTTAAGGGGGTATTTAAAACATGGACGCATAAAATGAGTGCAGCAATTTTTGTGGGAAAACTTTTTATTCAACAACCAAAAACGAAAGAATGTCTTTCTTGGGATTCAATTGAAAGTATTGGCAGAAACGAAAAACTCTTCAAATAAGATTGTTAGGTATTTATGAGACCTACAAAATGAGACCACAGGTAAAACGAAGGCACTGGCCAACGTTACTAGGTGTAATGTAACATTACACTACGTACTGATTGCATGCTCTCTGTGTAACATGTTACATTACATCTGGTAGCCTCAGTCACATAATGTAACAAGCATTGATTTCTCCAAATTAAAAAAAATAATAGAGAAAAAAGGAGCAGAACCGTACTGCGGTTCCGCAATCGTCGACCCTTCCCATTACGCAACGACGTTTGTTGGATCCTTATACCACTACTTGACACTGACAAATTTCAAGCTAACGTTGATGGCATATCATTATGATTTGGTTGTTTCGTGCACATCAGTATTATCCATCATTCAGCATACGACCCGAATGTTTGCGGATCTTTGATTTGCACAAACACATGCAACTTTCACTTTCTTTGACAATGAATCTATAAACTCGTAGTAGTAGAGATTACGTGTATTTGTTATATCGTCTACACCTTTGTTGCCGAATAATAATTATAAACAATTACAGTACTCTTGAAAAGTATACAAGATACAATGCTGAACCTTTAAATAATGCACTAGGGACTAATAACGAGCATTTTGCCTAATTTTTAAGACGGCCAGATCGCTACAATTGGTTGATATTTTTCTACTGTTTTCTCATTTTCTCGAGTTTTCCAACATTTTGAACACGCAGTTGCTTTAATCGAACGAGATTTCGAAAACAGACATACGATACGATATATTTCTTCGTAAAGAAACTGGATTCGGTGACCTACTTATTTGACAAAGTCATGAACTCATCAATAATGTCATTTAGCACATGCTATATACTAACTAGTCTAAGATGGTTGAAACATAATTGTGTCTTCAGCTGGCATACCAAGTTTATAAACAGTTCAGCGCAGTTCAGTATGGAATATTTTTTTATAAACTTCAAGTTCATCTGTGACCGTGTGAAGATTACAGCTCTAAATATGTATACACAAGAGTATGAAGAAATATGGAAAAAAATTGTTCTCTTCGTAACAAAAGGTGCTAGATACATCCGCTCTATTTTAAAATGTATGCTTTTCGAATATAATAACCCTTCGTTTTTCACAAAAAAAGAACAAATATCTTTGGGAATGGTTTGTGAATCACGTCGGCAAGGTAAGCTCCTGTATTTTGCTATAAAATGCTCTTTGAAACAACTCTGTATATTGCTGAGTAAACTAGTAGTGATGGCCGGAATACAGATGTTCTGGGTTAAGCAATTAGAAATTCTCAAAAAATACTTGACCAATCGACTTCAATTTTGTTGTAGTTATTCAGAAATATGAAGCCTACGGAGAATTTCAACTAGCTGCGTGAAACTATCGGCCATAACTTCTTTACTATTAGTCGAATCTTTCTAGTCTTATTTTGTAGGTCCCTCAAATACCTAAAAATCTTATTTGAAGATTTTTCGTCCCTACCAACATATTCCACTGAATCCCAGAAAGCCGGGTTTTTTCATTCTTTGTTGTCGAACAAAATGTTTTTCCACAAAAACTGGTGTACCCATGTTATGCGTCCATGTTTAAAATACCCCATTGAACAACTTGCATCAATAAAACCATAATTTACAATTGTTTCGTTTACCAGGGGTATTTTTTGCAGACTAGTTCACAACAAGTGTACAAGAGCTTGTGCTAAGTTAACATCTGATAGAAAAACCTAAGTTATTACACCAAAAACCTCAATAATGTCAAAAAAACTGACGAAATGTCACTTTTGAAATACTTAATACCCGTGCGGGACCAGATATATTCAGAATGACTTCGGGTCCAGTTTCAGAGATCAAAAAAACGTAACGAGTCAGGAATGTAGGTCCAACCATACTTGTAATCGTTAGGCTGATAAAACTGAATACGGAGCCCAATGCCTGTTATTAAGATATCATTTTCTCATACTTGAACTTCCACGAAGGCCTAAGGCCTAAATACTAGGTTGTGCCTAAAAATCGAATATTATAACTTCGTTCTTTGATAGTGCGCAAAAGTTGCCTTTTCTTATTCCAAGAAAATTTTGTATGAACAATTTTTTGATAGTAATGCATCCTCTGCCCCCTACCAGAACCCAAAACCTGAGTTCAAAATTCACCCGCGCTTGGCAACCAGCTTGGCTTCCTGACGCTAGGTCAGGTAAATGTTAGACATGGTAGTATTTAGACAAATTTGCGATTAAAAGCGGACAGATTATGAAAAACTTAACTTTGAAAGTTTACTTGTGTCAAAAAAGAACATTTAGTATGTTGGTTACAAGGTTATACCACATTCAAGGCTTGGAAGGGCTGCTGCCTACGCAAGAACTCCAATTATTATAATACAAATCATGAACAACTTTCGAAAATTATCGCGCATCTGCTATCCGCTAGGCTTATTCTGCTAATTTTGTCAGACTATAAAATCCAGATCTGCGAATCGTTTCAGGCTCTGGTCGAGATTGCGGTAGATACGTGACCTGCGTCTATCACAACACCCGCACAATGCTACATCCATCAATTTGCCAATAAACCTGCTGTCGCTGCAAGGGTCACCAATTTACCTTCGTATTGCCTTTCCTATGGCTACAATCGAACGGGGATTAACCAATCCGCTCTATGCAGTTGTTTAATACCCACAGTGATAAATAACTGCCTCTAATTGACCGTTTCTCTTTGTTTCAGGGCGAAAACGTACCAGAACCGCAATCCGGCAGTCCGGAAACCGAACTTGCGCTCATTTTTGGAATTAATGTACAGCATCGACGGTCGATACGCGACCACTGCATCCAAAATTAAATTTAAAACATGAGAACGTTCGCCGAGTTATATTAATTCAATTCCATTAGCATTACCGTAGCTATTTAATACAACATACTATCGGTATCGGAGTATATTAACGCGAACAATGATGTAGAAGCCAACCCATGAATAGCATGACTTGAATTCGAAAATGCAGCGGCCGGTATCTAGAAACTCAGAGGGGGAGGGGGAAGAGAACCCTCTGGGGGGATTGGAGGCGACTGTGTCGTGTCTGTGGGTCCTTACGCCGTTGTCCGCGACCGTGTCGCTGGTTTTGGTCGCGGTAGGGATGGCGACGAATCAGTGGCTGCATACGACGGAAAAGATGTCAAATCCGCACTACAATGGAACTGGAGAGAAGGAGTATCTGGCCAAGGTCACTGTGTCTGGGCTGTGGATGTTCTGCTTCACAAATCGTGAGTATCCTGTTATTTTTTTAAGCCTTATTTTTATATTTTTCATTGGTTCTGATACGCTGCAGAACAATGAAAATATATTTTGTCTTAGGGTGATACAGGCTCCAAAATATCGAAACCAATCATTTTTGATATATCATGTACTATTCCTCATATTCTTATATCATGTCACTAAGAACAACTCCTGGATGTCGTTTAGCCAATTTTAGCTTATACATTATGTCAAATAACCCACACTCCTTCCTACACAAGTCCCTATGATTTGGTCTATTTCAACCATTACAATGGTTGTCCAGCATTTGAAACGCTTCTTTGAACTTAATGATCAATGGAACTTTTCCTTCGTGTCCGACTATTATCTCCTTATTTCTTTATTTTGCCCCATACTAATTGAGATCCGTTGCCATTACTATCGGTGTCAATGTAGACCGCTTAAGGACGAAGTAGTCAATCTATGACTTAAAATGAAAAAAGCAGTGGTAGGTATCGTGGAACTCAGAATAGCAGTAGAAAGAAAAACCCCCTAGGAGTCTGGGGGCGACTGCCGTTATCTTTAAAAATAGCGTCAAGCAGGTTGACTTTGCGCTTCTCACGCATCGCCGTCATCAGATCATAAATAATTATGTTCAGCACAACTTATACCTTATCGAAACAAGGCAGTGACATTGACCTTATATGCTGGATGGTTGTTATTCTTCCGTTCATTGTCCCAGAGGCCAAGCCTAGACTATGTTATTGAGTTGCCAAAAAATTATGAAACGTCTGTCCATAGTCGGCTGTCTCTGGTTGGACTGTCAAAATAGCTTTGAGGAAACAATTAGCTACGAATATGTACAGCAGAGAAACTAAATGGATCAACTCAATCAAACAAGACCATACAATTAGTCCATCAAAATACTTTCGCTGCACTATCGTAGTAGAGTCCATCTGGCAAGGTCTCGTCTTCCCGATAGGGGAGACCGAGGAGAGTTGAAGCAATTTTCATACAATGGCACATAACTTCATAAATAAGTAGTATCCTACAAAGTATAATATACTATATGGAACCTTGCTTACTTGGTTAATGAATAATCATCACTGTTTACTTCTTGTTTCAAAAAAAATCGATTAGTTAACCACTAACTTTGTTGCAATTCTTCGCTTACTCAGGTATGTTGAAACACAGACCCAGGAGAGTTGAAACACAAGTATTTGGAAGAAAAACAATATATGAATTAGGAATATATTGAAGTTATAAACTTGTTTTTCCTACCTTCTTACAGTTCCTCCTTGTTTCGCTAACGAATTTCTTAGCTCCTAGGTTCAATGGTTTCAAGGTCGTTTTTTACTGGAGTGTCAGCTAATATTGCTGACTTTATCTTACTCCTGTATTGCGTATTCTTCCTAGCCCCTGCCTTTCGTAGGGTTCTTATTGCTTCCGGAGAAAATACACTCACTGCAGTAGTTACAGGCTTCCGACGTAATAGATACCTTCGAACTTGATGGCACAGGATAAAGTGACCCAGGGGTAGGAACATCGTCTTGATTTAAAGACAGAATTTTGGGAGTGGATGATACTTCTGCATTTGCAACAGTATTAGAAACAGTGAATCATTGATCGGTGGGTTTGGACTTTGTGCAGCTTCTCTGCTGGTCCATGGAATGTTTATCAGTTTGGACAACAAAACCTTTGTGTACAACTGTTAATGGCAGTACTCTATCGGTCACCCGACTGGGTACGAACTCCCCTCCACGAAATACTCCAGTGTTCAGTGGCCATATCCCGGTCGTCCAGAATCCTGCAGTTCCAATTTGTATGGTGATTGCTATATCAAAGGTGCTTTTGACAATTCCTCGAATGTTTTATATAGTCATTACTTTTCCTGGCTGTGAACGCATCGAGTTATTGCACGTTGTGTTAATTGCTTTTTTACAGGGCAAAAGATAGCTAACTCATGGGCTGGAGTCTGTGCGTGGAATGTGGTGGAAACGTCAACAGAACGCCTAAATTTTCCTTGCAAAAGTTGATGGTGGAATGCAATTGCCTATAACATTGCCAGCTTGGGCTAGAGTAACTAAACTACCTCTTTCTTCAGAGGTTATGGCGCTGACTTGCTTTTGGTCTCGTCATGCAATAACGCGGTCAGGGTTTTGGACAGTAGTTATACCCGTTTCATCAACATTACAGATGTCTTTTGCTTCCATATGCTATTTGTCAACTATCGAACTATAACTTTTTAAAAATTGTTCCACGTTGGTTCTATTGAAACTGGTCGCTCGAACAATACTTGTCGCTGGTGGCAGTCTCAAATACAAAACTTCGTGGCGTTTCATGAATAATCTGGGCCAAACTTCACCAACCATTCCGGTTTGCATTCAAGAAGGAGGGCACTCGCTGTCATATGCCACAGCATGGTTATACGCAAGTCTTCTTGCTTCTTTTGTACTCAATTCAAAATTTACATCAGACCAGGTCAAAATGTATTCACATAATGATATTTCTTCGTCTTTTGATAAAAACTTTGGGGAGATGATATTCAACTGAGGGTGGTTGGATGGTCTTATTGCTTTCATACGCATCACTTCTTCGGAAGCCAGTTCGTAAATTTCTTTGCTTGACATACCCCAATTCTTATTTTGCTTGTATTCGTTCGCCATCCCAAAACAGAAAGGGCATAAGATAAATCTCAGGCATACTGGTAAAATTCAAAAACGGATATAAAAACGCAATTGTAAAAGTAAACACAAACGAGGTAAGTTGGAACAGGCTGTTTCAAGTCTCCTAGAGTACAAAAATCTGCCGTTATTATGGTTGTGCCGACATTACCTCGTAGTACAATAAAATTTTGCAACAACCTTGCTACAGCTTGAATCTTGAATAATTAAGCTTTCTTAAAACATACAACACATACAATAATAAATCAATATGTCAATCCAAATCCATAAAGGTAAAATATGATAAAAGCTTACTTTTGTTATTTTTTTCATTGAATTTGGTAACGGTGTAAGCGCGGCAATGACCTGTATTTATGTGAAGGTGGCATCAGAGGCAAATAAACTTCGTTGTCAGCTCGCTAGTGTTTTTGGTTTCCACAAAAATTCTGTTGTTTTAACTTACCTATGCTTCAACACTCCTCCCCACAGCGCCTGTTTATCCGATTTTCAAAAACTAAGTTGTTTTGTCCTTGGCATAGAATGAAATTTTCATCCAAATCCACGGAGTACTTTCCAGGTTATAGATGGGCCAAGCATTAGCGGAAATACAGTCAAACAGCCGGAAATGAGTAAGTGACATGCTTTTTCGTGATTTACTTATCACAGAAGATCCAAAAATATTTCATTTTCAAAATTTGTCGTAATTACAGTACTTCTTCGCCAGTAAGCGCAAGAACCAAAAGGAGGATAGGGCTTGTTCTTATTAGTTTTAAGAGCATTACTGTGATCTTATTTGGTAAAATGACTATCACGATAGAAATTGTGTGTGACTGCCCGAAATAAGCATATGATTTGGCAACCTTCAGAACAACGTTAATCAACGGAGTATTTTAAGTATGCAGTTCATGGCTTAAGTGATCTGAAGCAAACTACTCGAATTGCAAAATCAACCTTATGTCTGTTTGGAATCACTCTTGTAAGGAATTCAGGACCAATACGCGAGTGCAGCATTTTCAAGACCCCCTGCTCACGTCAGCCCTATTAGCGCAATATATGTGTTCCAAAGGACGGATGCGACCCCTACAGGTCTTGGATCGAATTATCCACTAAATTAGAGTCCGGTCCAAAAAGGAAGGGAGTCTAACAGCAGGAACATCGACCGACGCTTAAGTCAAGTGGACGAACCTTTGTGCCTGGTGATTTGTAACGAGCTTGAAATGGCTGTGCAGTCTTCTTCTTTCCCGGAATACTGATTTTATTTAGAAGGGTCTCATTTATAAGCTATTCTTTCAGGCATATGGGACGGGTCTCTGTTTCTTGCGATGAGAAAACTGTCGTCTATACTTTGTGTCAATATGAGAACGGTATTTTGGGTTTATGAAGACTGTGGAAATTAGGTCATTGACATTGTCTCCGCCCTTTGGGCCTAGAAAAACTCCACGTTAAGCCTTCTTATTGCTATTGCGTGTAAAATCGCACTCGGGCTACGCTATTCAGATTGCCCATATTCCACGAGCGCCACCTATGAGGTAATAACACAATAGTCATTTTGCTTAAATTTGCATAGGATTGGCTAGCACGGGTTGTGGGTTACAGGTGTTTGAGATACTAGAGAAGTGCATTATTTTTTACAATACTTAGGCATACTTCAACAACTGATAGCAAGTGACATCTAAGGTCCGTACTGTTGAAGTGATGAATTGCGTGAAACGCGGGACCGTATTGAGAACTGATTATACGAAACGCTGATGATTTTGTTTTTGACATACTTTCACTGACCAGGAATTTAAACAATAAAATGTACAAAGTACACATGGAAAAATGTTTATTAGCAAATTATTAAAATAGATCGGGGTTTTAAAGGATACTATGTAAGTCAACAGAACAACTCCATTACCCTTCCTACTAGCATTTTATTCCGGTCAGTTTAGCCATTGTGAACTAATTGAATGCCTTTAAAGTCATGTTCTTTTTTAATTCCAAAGGGTAAAAACGGTTAACACTGTTTATTATGTTGTTATTACTTGAGAAATAATCATGATGATTAGTCATATTGCTTGTATAGTATTTCTTTTTGTGTATGGAGTAGGGGCCTTCCTTAATAAAAGATTGTTGAGAAATATGAATCTGTAGAGTACAAAAAATACAATAAAATACAACTTTGTCTTCAGACGGTGCTTACAAATAGATCCGTCAGAATTGTGTGTCGCTTGCCGATATGTGGTATTCTGAATTTTACTAGATAATCAATCTGTTATTAGCTGTCACGTCTGATGTAGTCAAGTATCGCGGAAGGTACAGTATACGTTTGGAATAAAACGAGTCGAGTATAAAGGTGAGTGTAAATATAGCATTTTACTGTTTGT